TTTTTTTTTTAACACACCCACCCCCCCCCCCCCAAAAAAAAAAAAAAACGACAAGGGTCGTGATGCAGAGCAGCAAAACGACAGAAATTTATCATAAAATCCATCAGCGTTTACCTCAAGCCTGCAAAAAAACTAAAATCCACTCCTTGCTGTTTGTTTGGGGAAAAGAAGTCAATAAGTTCTTGTTTTCTGATCCACTGAGGGCTCCTTCGTGAAAGGCAGCGTGTATTTTTAATAAGGTTCTAATTAAAAAAAACGGGGATTTTATTAGTTAGCTAAAATCGAGAAGTGTTGCCACGGTTCTATACTGTGTGAAAGATGCAATGAGCTGCCATGGCAGCTCATTGCATCTTAATAAGCAAGTTAGTCAAGCAAATTATTAGAGCAGCTTTCATAATTTAACATTTTCTTAAATTTAAGTCCTAACAGCCTTAAAAATATATAGCTTAAATGAATTTATAGCAACTTGCAGGAAGTCTAATCAGTAGTAGCTCATGTGTTGTATCATGATTCCAAACTGATCTTTTTCTGTGTCTTTTTAGGGTCCTCAAGGTCCTCCAGGAGGTGTGGGCCCCATGGGATCTGTGGGTGAGAAGGTAAGGCCCCACCAGGGCCCTGCAGGGTGTTTTATCTGAAAATGTCGTCATGTGACATGGACATAAAATTCTGCGCTCGCTTTAATGCAGGGGTGTCCAAACTTTTCATAGCACATTCCATAAATGTCAAGTTGAAACTCCTGGATTTTTCTATATAATTATAATTTCAAAGACGACGAAGAGAGAGCTGAGTCAAGAAGCGAAGCTCTCGATTTACCAGTCAGTCTACGTTCATCTATGGTTATGAGCTTTGAGTCATGACCGAAAGAACTAGGTCATGGGTACAAGCAGAACAAAATAAGTTTTTTCCATAATATTTATCATTAAAAGCGCAGACTTTTACCCCAAAGTTTCGTCTGAATTTGAGGACTCTCCATGCACCAGCTTGAATGTTTACCTGTTGAGACGCTGACATTTATCTAACCACAGGGCGAACAAGGGGAGGCTGGAAACCCGGGACCACCTGGAGAGCCTGGAACTGGGGTAAGCATACACCGCCTTTTGCTGTGCCCCTCTGACGAGACGAATACGTCCAATAGCGCCGTCCTACATTTTCACGCAGACGTTTCGGTTCATGCCACAGGCTCTCGGTTCAGACCACTCGTCTGCCGTACACGCGGCTCTGCGGTTGTTTTCGGGTCGGTCGGGTGTCCCAGATTGAATATTCTGCATAGCTTGAGGGCGGACATGAAGCAGCACACAATCTCATGAGAGGGAGGGCTGCTGTGCGTCCGTCACAATAGAAGTAATTGCTACTCGCATTCAGACGGTTGGATCATCTCAGCGTGGCTCCGGCGCTCTGCACAGCTTGTGGACACGTCCTACCAAAATGAGCCTCCTTCCAGACTCTTAAGGCGTAATTAACAGGAAGCGTTGTCTGATGGATCCGATTTAAAGAACTATGTTTAAGAGGGAAAAAAATCTAATCCAAACACCAATTTCTGAGTACATACTCCTGTTAGGCTGAATCTTTTGTTCATTGCAAATTATTGGAAGATGTTTATTTATTTTGTCTGGCTTTTGTTGTTGCTAGATGGAAATTTCAGAGAAGTTAAAGAGGTACAACAGCAGATTGAAAAGGTAGAAAACGAGGGACAGGTGGAGGGCAATACCTTCAGATGGTAAACTTGCTGTTCTCTCCTTTCAGACTCTGCATTTACCTACATTTTACATGATAAGAATGAAAAGTGTGGAAAGTAGAGGAGATATCTGTGGGAAAAGGAGGCGGAGTAAAGCTGGAGCAGCATTAGGCCTTCTGGTGGCCTTTCAGTCCACAAATGTGAAACGTGTGAAGGGTCATGAAGGAGGACCAGTCACTGTGCAGCAGGTCTTAGTAGCTGTAACTAAGTGGTAGTTTCTGTCGGACAAGATCTAAAGTTAGCTTTAAACTTTACATGCAAAATAATTACTTTGGGGGAAGAACAAACTCTATGTACACCAGAGTTATAATTGTTTTGGGTTATTCATTACAGTTTGGTTTTATTTTGTTGTAAATTTTTGTTTGCCTACTTCGGCTGGTTTTAATTAGCTTTAGAGTGTTTTGTAGGTTTTATTGGTTATCATGGTGAGTTTAACAGAAGTAACTGACTGACAAAAAGCTGCTGCAGGAGTCAGAGTCAGCAAGGACAATCTGATGTACAAGTGGTCATTTAAAAAAATAAAATAAAAACGTGCTAATCTCTGTTGGTAACACAAAGACTTTAGGATTATAGCCAAAAAGCAGAAGATGAGGTTCTATACTTTCACAAATATAATGTTCCATAATGTAAATTTTTTTAAACGGCTCATATCAGCTTGGAGGTTAAGTTCCTTATTTATTGAGCTCCGTCGTCTCTGAGTCCATAAAACATCCGGACCTGTCTACTCATTTCATATCTGCAGTGTTGACCGTCGCTGCCCGTTGTGAAACAGTCCAAGATCTTCTTTAGATCCAATATCTGTCAGCAGTCTCTGCCTGCACAGGTTCTTTATTCCCTCCACTGAGTTTAATGTAGACTGAAAAAAAGAAAAACAAAACTCTGCTTCTTTTGATGTTGACATAAGAAATACCCCGTCACTGTAGGGACCCAAAGGTGAGAGAGGAGAGAAAGGAGAGGCCGGACCCCCCGGAGCTGCTGGACCCGCCGGTGCCAAAGGACCCCCTGGAGACGATGGTCCAAAGGGCAACCCTGTAAGTCTGACAGGTTTGCTATTAAAGCCAGTGAAAGTGTGGCTCCTCATGCTCAGGCACAATCTGCTGCTTTAGAAAAAAAGTCACACACCTCAAAGGTGGGTCATTTTACCCAGTCTCATATTCAAGAGCTAAAAAGCCTTTTTATTGAGGGAGATTAGATTTTATGCCTGCATGGTAATGGGAGGCAGTGGGGTCTCTTGGATTTGCAACATCATCATTAAGTTCATTACATTACCTTCACAGGTTGTAACCAAGTACGCCAGGACGAAATCACGACCCAAACTACCTCCCACATTCCAAATGCTGTTTCCAAGGAAATTATTTCTCAGCAGCTGTTCCTCTGGTGTTCTTTTTAACTCTTTTTAACTTTTTTTTCCCTCTCTTACAGGGACCTGTTGGGTTCCCTGGAGACCCAGGACCCCCCGGAGAGCCAGGTGTCGCTGTAAGTATGAAAACACACCGCTTGCTTTGTATGAAAAGCTGATTTCTTTTAGCCTTTTTTTTTAACCTGCGCATGAATTACAGGGTATTGATGGAGAAGCAGGAGAGAAAGGAGAGGATGGTGAGCCCGGTCAACCTGTAAGTTATCAATACTGTTTATTAGTTAGAATGAATGAATTATTGAATAATATCTGTTACTTAGAACCATAATAAGGACGCACGGGAATCAAATTATCTCTCAAATTTTCACTGTGTATATTTACTGAAGTTTCTCATCATGATATCACAAGGCTACTCTTGGTAAAGATTAAAATAATATCCATACTTTGTAGATCTGTTGTGTGTAATTAAAAAAGAAAAGCAAACAGCAATGAGCTCATGTTGTGTAAAAATAACAAATCACAGCTTTTATTGAATCAGCTTGAAATGACGCCTACAAGGCTGCAAAAAAAAAAGAAAAACGAAAACATAATAATTATAGTAAAAATGTATTCTGAGAAGTGACTGTAATACAATATTCATTTTACTTTGTTGCAAACTATGAAAAAGGTCATTACTGACAAACCTTGGTTCCTGTGATGTAGTTGACATGATTTTTATTGTATTTCACTATCAAAATTGAAGAACAATCGTTCAAAAATAAACATATAACATTTAAAATGTATCAATCTAGAATCAAAATGCCCTTTCTCTGTTTCTTTCTTGAAGGCATTGGTTTGTCCTCCATTTTGAAAGGAACAAAACATATTTATTAATTTGATTTAAAAATGGTATTTAAATAACAAACTTAAAATCAATTGTAAAAGTTTTCTTTTTAATCTGCAACTACAAAAATATATAATTTTCTCACCAACAACTGCTTCACGTCCAGGAAAGTCAGCTTACTGGACGTTAGCATTAAGCATGGTCTTTAAGCAAGCTAAAGCCAGATACATACCTACATTTTTTCTCCAACACAGAAATCTTCTCAGTCACAAGTCTGATAATAGTTATTATTTGTACAAAGTTGATATTTTAAGTCATAAAGTAATCTAAAAAATATATGAACCTGTTGGTTTTCTGGTTCTGTGGCAGATGCTACACACACAGTTAAGCTAACAGTTGACTGAACCAAAATGTTTAGGTAGGATCTGTAACCTTAAAAGCCCTGTTTAGATGAATATTTCATGGTTAAAATATAAATAGTCTTATTGGTAATACTTCACATCCTCCAAAATCCCTTTTTAAAGTGTATTTGTAACTTTGGAGTCATCTTCTCATACTAAAATAATGTAAAAAGATGATTTAGGCAAAAATAAATAAATACATTTTTGGCAAAAGCTTAAACCATCTTTTTAGGAAGCTGTTAGTAGGAAAAAAATACACAAATGATGTCAATTTCTGACCAGCATAAATCTTGAACAGCTGCTATCATTGCCTGCACTTTACTGGAAAAATAACAGCATGAAGAAGTGCAGCCATTTATCAAAGTACGAGGTACTGTTATTGACGGTGTCAGGGTTACTGAGCTGTTACTGTCCAGTGAGCTGTGTGATTTAATGATCCATGAACCCCTCTCATCAGTCTTTGTTGCACGCTTGTTTTCAGGGACCCCCGGGTCCTTCTGGAGAGGCCGGTCCACCTGGCCCACCTGGCAAGAGAGTAAGTCCTTGGCTCTTCTAGCTCTTTTCCTTCCAGTAAGTCGTGTCTGTGCGTCATTGAATGTGCTTCCAGCCACATTCAAGTCTCGACTAGACACCGACCTAGTTGCATAATTATTAATACTTAAAAAGTTGATTCTCCTGATCAGTAAATTCTTTGGTTAAACAATACAAAACGTATATTTTAATTAAAAAGATGATTTCGCCGCGCGTCGGTGGGCAGTTTTACGCCAACCCCCCGTAGCCAGCGGTTGAATATTGCTTCGTCTGGCAGCAACTTCAACTCAACAACCCAATTTGGCTCTAAAGCTGGAGAGATTCATTCTCATTAAAGGCAGAGTGGCAAAAACAAAGTGGGTGATTTATGGGGTCAAGGTGTTACGCTATCAGTGAGGTAAAGCTTTTTTAAAGCCCACGAAGAAATGAATGTCAGGATGTGAAAATCATGAATCATTTTTTTTTCTTCCACTTTGTGAGAAATTGAAAGGCTTACTAAAAGGGGGGGAAAGAAGGGAAAAGATCACAAAAAGAGGGCGAAAATGGAGTTTATGTCATCGTTTCAGTGGAAAAAAAGAAGAAAAAAGATGTGCAGCAAGTCTGACACATTATTGATCCGGCGGCCGCTTTGCCGGACAGCATCTGCAAAACAGAAGCATGAGACGCGTCTTGCAAAGTGGTTACGAGGTGATTAGGAAAGAGGCGCAGATTCAACAGCTAATAAAAACAAACAATAAAAGCTCTGACTGGCGAACGTGTTCATCGCGATACAATCATCTTGTCACGCAGTGTGTCATTTAACGTGACGTGGGCGCTGTCCCGTTTAAAGCTTTTAATCATCTTTGAAGAGCAGATCTTAAAACGTCAACAGATGCGACTCACCCCAATTAACACGTACCCTAACAAGCACAGTGCTACCAATCAGGAGGGATTCCTGACAGAAACACCACCAGATCTCCACCTTTAAGCCATTATGGTGCCATTTTTTAACTTTTTTCTTTTTAATTTTGTTAGTAGCGGTGATGGTGTTGATTTCCACACACATAAAAGCAAGAAAAATGAAAAAAGTCTGCCAAAAGTTGCAGAGAAATCTTTTGGCATTAATGACGATCAAAGTAAGATATTCAGCGCAAATATAAGTTAATTAGCTCAAAATTTTATTTCCATTTATCTTTGAAAACAAATTAGGAGAAATATTATTTTAGAGACCTAATGGCACCTACACAGGAAATTAAAAACTCTAAGAGCCCAGTCGTCTGCGATAATGTTGGATGACTGCTTGTGATGCAAAAATGTATTTTGAAAAGTCATCACAATACTTTATATGCTCTTTAGTGAACGGAAGTATCTAGAAGTCCCACTTTCTTACAGAAGAAGTAAACGTTTTTCTCAAGAGCCCCTTTTTAAAATTCATTATTAGCTTTTGAAAAAAAGAAACAGACATTTATTTAGGTTTTATACTTTTAAGACCGCAAAGTTATCTTTCTCTTGGTTTTAATCTTGTACCAACCAGGAAGACACTAGTATATTAAAATCTATTGGATTATTAATTCTCACTCCATTGTGTCAGTATATCTCACAAATTATTTGAGTTTGTAAATTCACCAAACTATCCAAACATTATGATGAAAGTTGACATAGTTGCTACAGTAGCAACTTTTTCTCATGTATATTTGCAGCTTATTTTCCATGTTTGTACAAAAAAAAAAATACAGAAGAAGAAGAAGAAGTTACTCACCAAAGTTAAAGATAAAAATGACATTTTTTTTTGGTCCAATGAGAAAATGTGCATGTGCTGCATTTTCTAACCAAGGCTGATTGCTTCCCCATTGCGTGGACAGAAATCTGTATTCCATTTATTATCATGGTATAAACTTACGCAGCACCTGAACGGCTGGGGGGGATTACAGTGAGGAAGGAGCTATTTTGTAATCACACACAGGTCTTAGGTGACCAGTACTCCTCTGCTAGTCTGTCCTTTGAATGTGTAATTTCTAAGATTTTTTTAAATTTTTTACCTTTTGAATTTCCTGCTGTCTCTTCACTTTGCCCATAGCAACTATGTGTTTCGAAACGATTCTTGAGGCACGTTTAATTTCTCAAGCTCGCGTGCGCATTTCTATTTCTAGTTTTACTGACAGTCCTGCACTTTTTATCTGAAGAAATGTTATCCAGTGAAAACTGTGGTAATCAGCATTTGAAGCACAAACCCAGTAGGACGACCCAAAAAAAAAAAAAAAAAAAAAAAAAAAGGGGGGGGCTTTTGGGGGGAACCTTGACATGAAGAGCACACCTTACGCGCCGCCGTCGTCTTGACACGCGGCGGCAGAAACGGTCCTTTGTGCTGATGAAGAGCCTGCCTCTTCACCACCAGTGAGAGGTACAAATCAGGAGAAGATGAAAGCTCCGAGACCTGAAGAGAGCTCGCATTATGGGCTCTCAGTCAACAACACTCAGCCTGCCCGTCGGCCAGATCAGAGCAGAATCATGGCGGAGGGCGGTTTTGAAGATGGAGACTAGAGGCGGAGTTGAAAGGGATCCTCGAGGCCAGGAGAGAGAATCTGACCGGGGGAGAAGACGCGGCCACGCCGGCGTGATTGAAGAAGGCCGTGCGTTCCCGTTTGAATCTCTCAGCTTGATTGTGTGTTTCTGTGGGGCGGACAAAGGACACTCACTCCGATGGATCTTGACATAGCTGAAGCGGCGCATGTTTGATGTCACCGGGTTACTTGAAGACTGTTGCTACTTTGCATTTATCAACTGGGACAAATAGTCAGAAAGAAATCTAATAATAAAGAAGGTAAAAATACCAAAACACTTGGAAGCTCAGGAGACAGTCCAATGAAATCTCTTGTAATAAACGTCCTGGGGTTTGTTTTGTTTTGTTTTTTATCTGATATTTTATGTTTTGTACTTTAAACTGCCTTGTTCCTGAAATGTGCTGCATTAAAAACTTGCCTTGGTTTTTTTTTCTCCTCTGCTTTTCAGTTGCTAAAAGCAGCTACATGGAGTATTGAGCCTTAATAAAAAAGAAAAAGACATTAAGCTTTATTTTGCTTTTTAAAACATTCGAGTTAGATTCTGAAATTGAGATAAAACGCATTTCTAGTGTTTGATCCTTAGATAGATTATGTGTCCATGTATCAAATCTGTTCATTTTTGTAATACGACTAAAGCATATAGCAAACCAGTTGGTTGATTTTTTTATGTTTTTAATCCACTTTTTTTCACTCAATTCTGATTTAGTTTTATTGAAGCGTGACTGTAACCTGCGTGACTGTAACCTGCAGCTGCAGACTGGCTGCAGGACAGTAACATACCTACTGTACTGCACTGTCACAGATCTGAGAAGACCGTCTGCTTACATGCATGTTGGGGTTTTACACTGTCGTGTTGAGAAACTAAAACATTCTCCTCTGGCTCCTCAGGGACCTCCTGGAGCTTTAGGAGCCGAGGGCCGGCAAGGAGAGAAGGGCGCCAAGGTAAGAAAATCCCTGCACGCTTCAGGCGAGAGTCACCTGAGCTGAATTAAATGTTAGTGTAGTTTAACTTCCATGACAGATTACATGGAAATAAACATATGTTGCAGTAAAATGTTCTTTGCTCTGACCAAAGAAAAACAGCGACTCGAGTCTGATACTTAAAGATAGTTTTTGCGATCCTTCGGTACTTTTGTTCATTAATTTAACAGCTGCTACAAAAAGCTGGAAACGATACAAGATGGAGAGCAGTGCAGCTGAATGCAACCGCGGCAGCAAGTCCTGTGAAAACTGTTGAGAGCGTTGTCGTAGTCTCTGCTCACTTCTCAGCCCAGACTTGATTTCCTGTAACTTTCCTCCATGTTACAGGACGCATTCAGCTATTCTTGTTCCCACTCTGAGCCTTATTTAAAGCATCACAAGCACATATTATTTCAGACCCTCGCTTACTTGTTGACACTTGCCGGGTATGCAAACTGCATATTTATTTTAAACTCTGCGCAGGCTGTGGCTGAACTCTGATAAAATGAAAAAAGAAAGGAAAAAAAAACACTGTGTTGACAACAAAGTACCAGAGTTGTTTATGGTTTGCAGTTTTTTTTGTTTGTGTGTTTTTTTAAGGCCATCACGCATGCTGTGTTGATGGCTACAGTGCTCCTTTATGTCCTGTTATTTTGCTCTACATTCATATTTAAATACATGCCAGCAGCTTGTTTAGATTTTGGGCTGTCCTTTCAAATGTTAGATCAGACATGAAAATATTATTTGTGTACATGTCTAGCGTCCTGTTTTGATTGTTTTTTCTATATCCACATGCAGGGTGAAGCGGGCGCTGAGGGCCCAGCTGGTAAAACAGGACCCGTTGGACCCCAAGGACCTCCTGGAAAGCCCGGTCCAGAGGGTCTGCGTGGAATCCCTGGCCCTGTGGTGCGTCACCGTTTACAGGCTTACAAAGCCTTGATTTTTTTTATTTTATTTTTTTACAATTTGTTCCATTTTAAATGAAAACTCCAGTGTGTTATACTGGGATTTTATCTTGCAGACAAAAATGCAGCATACAGTAATTGTGAAATTGAAGGGTAGGACTTTATTTGAAGGGGTGTGCATAAGACTGACAGGACACTATCATGAACATGAATGTTTATGACACTTTTAACGCAAAGCTGTACTAAAACTTGCATTAAAAGTCCATTAAAAGTGTCAACTTTGCATTAGAAGTGTCATCATTTACCAAATGACAGCATTATGTCGCACCCTTCAAATAAAGTGTTTCCTGATAAAAACATTTTCACAAGTAAAAATGTAAAAACTGTGTTGGGCATTTGGACTCAGCCCCACTTACCCCAGCGCCCCTAAATAAATCAATTAGAATCAATGCAAATGTATCGTTTCTCTTTCTCTTCGGTTAGTTCATCACATAAAACCCAAACAAAATCCAGTGAAGTTTGTGGTCAGAACATGACAAAATATGAAAATGTTCAGTGAATACTTTCACAGGCCGACTGAGACACACACACACACATAAAAGTACCGCGAAGGCATGATGATAGACTTCATGGAATAATCGATACTCCCATTTGGCTTGTACTTTAGTTTTACTTGTTTATTTCAGCACACTTTTCCTCCCTGTTTGGGCTATTAATCATCGAGTCGCACACAGGAAATCAATGGCAGAGCGGTGAAAATACAGCAGCCCCATGATGCTCTCTTCAATTGAATGGTTTTTCACAGGGTGAACAAGGGCTGCCCGGTGCTTCAGGACAGGACGGTCCACCAGGTCCGATGGTAAGTATTCAGAGTCCGTCCCGTCGTCTCTCGCCTGTCTGGATTTATCCCTGCCACCAGTTCTCTCTCTCTCTCTCTTTCTCTCTCTCTCTCGTCTGTGAGCTTTTTGGACCCACAAAGTCCCAATAAAAACGCACGTTGACCTCACATTTTATGGATTTGTCTTGTCTGAAAAGCCTTTTTTTATTCAATGTCTTTCGTCACGCTTTCCTTTTTTCCTCCACACCTTTTCCATCGGAGTGTTTTCCCTAATTGCTCCGATCGATTTTTTTTTTTTTTTTTTTTTCCCCTTTTTCTCATCGTAACATTTCAATGTGTTCGTCCTGCAGGGTCCACCAGGTCTGCCAGGCTTGAAAGGCGACCCCGGCTCCAAAGGTGAAAAGGTGAGTCCGTTTTTTTTGTTTTTTTTCTCTCCTCCATTTTCTTGTATCCATTTGTAAGCTTGTCTCGTCCTAAACTTAAGATGTTATTTACAAAAACCTCTCTGTAGCAGCCTGGTTCAGAACACCATTGTGGACTTTATGCATCATCTCAGAATAATTGCCATGTTTTCTTCGAAAGGGCTTCAGGAAAGACTTTTATTTCTTTTTTCTTTTTGTCTCCTTCCCTGAAAAAGAAAATGTTTTCATGGGATTGAAAAAGCAGCTGAATATGATGCATCACTCCAATCTGTCCAATCTTTCTATTTTCCTTGCTCCTACTGTCACATTTGTTGGTGAAGAATAACTGCTAAGGATATTCAGACAGGGCACATTACTCTATCTAAATTGCCTCAAACGCCCTGACATGATGGCTTGAAAGAAACTATTTGGAAGCACACAACAGAATCTGAGTGTGTGTGTGTGTGTGTGTGTGTGTGTGGTCTTCATCTCTAATGCAGTTGAATCACAGGACCCGGCTGGAGCTTGCTTATTTCAAAAGTCCTTGGATCTGTGGTGTGAAACGACCTTTGCGTTTCCACCGACTTTCTTTCATACGTGTTGCCGAAGCGGCATCTCTGTTAACACGCTTAGTGTTTCTCTCTCTCTCTCTCTTGTGAAAAGCAACTCAGACTGCAGGTATTTTTATTTTGTTTCTCGTTTGATTTGACTGTCTCGTGTGTGTGTGTGTGTGTGTGTGTGTGTGTGTGTGTGTGTGTGTGTGTGTGTGTGTGTCTTTTCGCTCTGCAGGGTCACCCAGGTTTGATCGGCTTGATTGGACCCCCTGGAGAGCAAGGAGAGAAGGGAGATCGAGGTCTTCCCGGACCCCAGGGCACTCCCGGTGGCAAAGGTGACTCTGTAAGTGCAGCTTGGCCTTCAACTCGTACTACCTGTATCCCGTTCGCCCTTCCAGCTGTGGCTAAAGGTGGAGACACGGTCACTGCTGTTTGAACTCTGCTGCATATCTAAGTCCTACAGCAGCCACTCTCAGACTTTCTATCTACTTCTTCTCGGCTGCAGCTGATGACATCATCGCTGTTTTTAGACCGTCTTCAGAATGTGTTGGACTATTACAGAAGCACTAGTCGAAATGTTGTGGCCAATTTCCGAGCTTTGGTTTTTGTAAAGCTTAGACGTCCCGGTACCAATTCTAGTTGATGCTGATTATTTCTCTTTGGGAGCTGCAGTAGCAGAAGATTTAGGAACAGTGTTACTTTTTCTGGCCGTCCTGCTATGAGCAATCATTAATCATTCATATTTCAAAAAATACATTTATATTTGTATCTTAAATAAGTAATGAATAAAGGTAGTGCTAGCAAACAGCATGGTTAGCGTGGCTAGAATTATTAAAGTCAAAAGAGGCTATTAGTCGTGTTGAGCCTCTCTTTTACCTGCTGGAAAAAGTCTTGCTCTCTCTCACCTTCTCGCAGTACTGCAGACACATCTGGACATTTCGGAGAAAACACAGTTTTGTCTGAACTGCGTCTGGAATCAGCTAACTTTGAGCCTTCAGTCAGTAACAACATCCACAACGAAGAGTTGTCAGCACAGTAGCATAGCCTGATGGAAACAGGATGAGTTTCTCACCATTCAGTCACCGATTAGAACTGTTCAAGCTACAATTCTTGCGATTTTCTCTGTCGCAAAATGTATCTAGTTGTAGTTCAGTAGTTTAATATTACATGTTTGTTTGTTTTTTTCCTTAATCTTCTCACAGTCTTCCTGAAATGTCTATAGGCAACATCCATGTACAAGCCTGGGATTATTCTCAGTTTATTAAATGTTTTCAGAAGCGACCTCACACACCGGATCACTCTAAGCTACAAGTTTGTTCTTACAAAGCCGCCGCCGTATTAAAAGTTCTGTTTTCAGTGATAACTGTTGAAAAGCAGGTGAAACGTCTGGTATAACATCAGCCTTGGTCCAGTTTTACAGGAACCTTTCTGTAAAACTGAACTAAGTATTGCCTTTCTTTGCTGTGGTAAGAAGCCGAGATGTTGTATTTTACTAAAGGGCTTAAGAGTTTTATTCCCGTTTAATTTTAGAATTGGATTGAAGGTCCTGTTTCATTATTCCTCTCTTGATAAGGTAATGACCTCACTGATTCAAATGGAAACGGCTCAATATTAGAATTTAATTTGCTTTCTTTTCATGAATACTAACATTCATTTAACCTCTTCATTTATGCCAGAGTTTGTTTTTTGTTTTGTTTTGTTTTGTTTCCAGCTCTCATTACAAAAGCCTCAGACTGAAATTTATTTTGTATCTATTGACAATCTTTTTGTGTTTCAGGGTATCAGTGGAGCTGCTGGTCCCCTTGGTCCCCCTGGGCCCCCTGGTCTACCTGTATGTATTATATTTCATAGGATGTATATTTATTTCCTGTATAGAATACCAAACTCCTGTTCTGTCCCTTGTGACCCAGGGCCCTCAAGGTCCGAAAGGAGCCAAGGGTTCAAGTGTAAGTACAAACTAAGCTGCTACATGTAGCCTATATGTATTACCAGTTAGCTTTCAAACCAGTTGAATAATCCATCTTCCGTATGTCTTTTGTTTTCCTCTCCAGGGTCCCGCTGGTCCAAAAGGAGACACTGGTTCAATAGGTCCTCCAGGTCCTCCTGTAAGTGACTTTAGTTCTTCTTCTATTTCGATCAACTCTACACAAGGCCGGGTCGTAAACCTAGCCACGCTGTGTGATACCAGGGCCCACCGGGTGAGGTCATCCAGCCCCTTCCCATTCAGTCGCCCAAGAAGACCAAGCGCTCCAGTGACATGCAGTCGGACGCCGCCGGCACCTTTTCGGATTACGGCGAAGGCATGGAGGACATCTTTGGCTCTCTCAACAACCTCAAACAGGACATAGAACGGATGAAATACCCCATGGGCACGCAAAACAACCCGGCCAGAACATGCAAAGACCTCCAGCTGTGCCACCCCGAGTTCCCCGACGGTGAGTAATCCACGGCTTTCAGGTGTGGCCGACAAGTCAAAGGTTTGCGCACTTCTGCTAATTCCTTTTGACGAAAATAAGTCTTCAGTCATTTTACTGGCTTGGTTTTATGTCCAGTGGAAGGAGGAACCACATTTTGTCATGTTACAACCACGAATCTGTAGTTTTTCTACATGTGAGAGACGGGCTTAACGAGCAGACCTTCAGCACAAAGCACATAATGCTTGTCTGTTAGTTTGAAAATAGCTTATGCTATTGGACAGAGAGCATATTTGAATGCTGATTTTCATGTTTTGCCACAGGTTCTCAAATGGGTTCAGACCTTAATGTTGACTGGACCATTCTAACACACAGATATGCTTTGAAGAACTCGTGTTTTGTAGCTCTGGCTGCGTGTTTAGTGTCACTGTGTTGCTGAGCAGTGAACCTCCTACCCCGTCTCAAGTCTGTTTCAACTTGTAACAGGTTTACCAAGTGGATGGTGTGTTCAGGGTGCTTTTTCTTGCTAGGACAAATAAGTTACAATGCGACTTGTCTAACCCAGGCACCCACATAACTTATGGCAAACTTTAAATTGAAGTTTTTACAGCGTTCTTTCAACAACGGCTCCTTTTGCCGCTGTGTCTGACTATATGCAGATGACCTTGTTTTGGTAGGCTGGTAAAACTCTTTACATTTTCAGATGATAAATGAAGTTAGGCTTGTCACAATAACATGTTTTACTGGACGATAAATTGTCCCAGCAAATATTGCGATAAACGATAATATCGTTGTTTTGAGATATTTTCTCAGGTAATGATTTGATAATGGGATAATAATGCAAGTTTGTCCTTTCAAAGACCAATAAACATTAATAGTGTAAAGAACATTAAAAACAGAAATAGGGCTGAAACGATTCCTCGAATGATTCGAGTACCTCGATTACTAAAATTCCTCG